TCTTTTGTTGAATTGGATGACGTGAAAAATAATTTATCAATCTATTAGAAGAAATGGATTTTTGATACCAATTAGTGATGAGTTGATTGTTATTTTTTATTAATGTCATATCTAGGAAATTAATTTTATTATCCATTTCTAGTTCATGAGTAAATTTTAAATTAATATTAAACGAATTAAAAGTGTCAATGAAAAGTTCGACTTGATCTTTATGGACGCACAAAAGTGTGTCGTCCACATATCTATAATAAAATAGAGGAACACAATTGAAATTGTTTTTAAGCAAATTCAAACAATCAGTTTCCACGTCATCCATTACAATATCCGCAAAAAATGGAGATATCGGTGACCCCATCGGAGTACCGTAAATTTGTTTATAAATTCTTTCATCAAAAACAAAATAAGTATTATCAAATAAAAATTCAGTACAATTAATAATGTCAACAAAAGGAATTTTACATTTATTATGAATAATATTGTTTCTTCTATCAAGGCTTTGTATAACTAAATCGCATGGAATATTAGTGAAAAGTGAACTAACATCAAGAGAAAGTAAAACAAAATCTTGTGGTACAGTAATATTCTTCAATTTTTCTTTTAACTCAAAGCTATTGTTTACATGAGATTTTGGTAAAGGAATTACAGTTTTTAACTCTTCGTATATGATTTTGGCCAAAAAATGAGTTGGACTATTTATTAGCGAAATAATAGGACGAAGAGGTGCATTATCTTTATGAATTTTTGGCAAACCATAAAATTTTGCCAAAGAGGTATTAGTCATAGTTAACTGATTATTATGATATTTTCGTTTAAGAAATTCATTGTCATTTAAATTTTTTAAAATTTTATAAGTTCTTGATTGTAATTTGGATAAAACTCCTTTCGTTGAAATTTCTTTATAAGTGCGTCGATCGGAAAGTAAGTCATGGGCTTTGGAAATGTAGTCTGATTTTTTCATACAAACTGAAACATTTCCTTTGTCTGAATTAGTAAAAAATATGTCAGGATTTTCTTTCAAGAAACTTTTTGCAGAATTTAACTTAATGGCAAAACTTCTGTCTTCAAATGTGATGTTGTTTTTTTTGGACAGATTTGACATTACACTATTACTAACTTTTTGTCTAATCTCATTTTTGACTTCAGAACTAATATCTAAACTCGAAATAGTACATTCTAAATTTTTTATAATATTGATAGATTCTTGTTTCGAAACATGTTTAGAATTCTGTTTCGTACAACTGTAATTTTGGCCCAAAGAAATAACATCACAAACTTCTTGAGGAATGACAGTATTAGTTAAATTAATTAACCAATTTTGTTTTTTTGAGTTAATATTATGAACAGAGTTTTTCTTATTAAGTAATGAATTAAATTTTTTAATTAGTTTGTGGTTACAAAGTGAGTGAATAGATGAAAATTTTTTCTCAGAAGACAGGAAAAAATTATTTAATACTTCTGAGTCAATGTGACATTGTGAGATTTTGTTTTCAAAAAATTGCAACTTTTTAGTCAAGAAATTGAGATGAAAATGAATATCTCTAATCTCATGACCAAGTAAAGTGCGTGAATAATAAAGATTAAATTTATGAAAGCTTTTTTTACATGAATTACTATGAAATGAAATATGATTAGATCGATTACTTATATGAAGAAGATGTTGCGGAATGAGTCCATTGCTCCTGCACCTTAGCAAAAAATGTCGTTTTGATGATGTTTCAGCCAGCTGACGTTTAAAATGTGACCATTTTTTAAGAAGAAGAACGGTGTTTCTTCCATATTTCTCTCCAACGAATTTGAAGAAACATCTTCGAGGAAATGTTGAAGATGTTGCGTCCATTTTTAATCCAGGACGATATTAATTAAATATTTAGTAAATTCTTCCACAGTTATTTAATAAATTAATTTTTTCGATTTTTGGAAGACGTATATAAAAGGTAAAAGAAAAACACTCTTTTACTTTTTTATAAAATAGACGACGTTTCGGTGGTCAGGTTCGCCACCATCATCAGGTCACTTTAATAGAAAAATTTTTTTAAAAAAAATTAATACAACAAAATTTTGAAAATTTAAATTTAAACAAAAAATAAAAAACAATTTTTACCTAGTTAAAGTCAATAAATAAACATCACGTCAATAAATTAAAAACATAAATAAACGCAATACAACAAAAAAATAAAATATTTAAATTTACAAATCACAAACATATTAAAACGAGTGATTAGTCAAACTGACTGAGCCGGTGACAATTTTCGCGTTATATACAGTCGATGGGGTCAATGACCCGCAATCGAAATATTATGAATTATAACCATTATTTCAATTTATTAAGCAAAGGAAAATAGGAATTACTAAGAAACTGTATATCTTCCTTCTTGTTAATAGTAAAATTATTGCATTTAATATAAATCATCAAGACAGAAGTTTTGCCATTAAGTTAAATTCTGCAAAAAGTTTCTTGAAAGAAAATCCTGACATATTTTTTACTAATTCAGACAAAGGAAATGTTTCAGTTTGTATGAAAAAATCAGACTACATTTCCAAAGCCCATGACTTACTTTCCGATCGACGCACTTATAAAGAAATTTCAACGAAAGGAGTTTTATCCAAATTACAATCAAGAACTTATAAAATTTTAAAAAATTTAAATGACAATGAATTTCTTAAACGAAAATATCATAATAATCAGTTAACTATGACTAATACCTCTTTGGCAAAATTTTATGGTTTGCCAAAAATTCATAAAGATAATGCACCTCTTCGTCCTATTATTTCGCTAATAAATAGTCCAACTCATTTTTTGGCCAAAATCATATACGAAGAGTTAAAAACTGTAATTCCTTTACCAAAATCTCATGTAAACAATAGCTTTGAGTTAAAAGAAAAATTGAAGAATATTACTGTACCACAAGATTTTGTTTTACTTTCTCTTGATGTTAGTTCACTTTTCACTAATATTCCATGCGATTTAGTTATACAAAGCCTTGATAGAAGAAACAATATTATTCATAATAAATGTAAAATTCCTTTTGTTGACATTATTAATTGTACTGAATTTTTATTTGATAATACTTATTTTGTTTTTGATGAAAGAATTTATAAACAAATTTACGGTACTCCGATGGGGTCACCGATATCTCCATTTTTTGCGGATATTGTAATGGATGACGTGGAAACTGATTGTTTGAATTTGCTTAAAAACAATTTCAATTGTGTTCCTCTATTTTATTATAGATATGTGGACGACACACTTTTGTGCGTCCATAAAGATCAAGTCGAACTTTTCATTGACACTTTTAATTCGTTTAATATTAATTTAAAATTTACTCATGAACTAGAAATGGATAATAAAATTAATTTCCTAGATATGACATTAATAAAAAATAACAATCAACTCATCACTAATTGGTATCAAAAATCCATTTCTTCTAATAGATTGATAAATTATTTTTCACGTCATCCAATTCAACAAAAGAAAAACATTGTTTACAATTTATATGATAGAGCAATTTTATTGTCTCACAAGTCCTTTCATAATGAAAACATTAAACGAATCTTTAAAATTTTGCAAAACAACGATTACCCTTTAGAATTTATACAAAAAAATATTAAAAAACGAAAACATACATTAATTCATAAAACAATAGATAAAAAACAAACTAACAATGTCGTTAGTATTTATCAACAACTACCTAAAATCTGTATTCCTTTCAATGATATTTATTATCAATTATCTAATATTTTAAAAAAATATAATTTACTTTCTATTCCTATTGTGGAAAAAAGCTTAAGCTCTGTAATAAAATTAGGAAAGGACTTGACAAAAAAGTGGGATCGGAATAATATTGTTTATAAATTTAATTGTAATAGTTGCCCTGCAACATATATTGGTGAATCAAAGCGTACTTTGAAAAAAAGAATTAGCGAGCATAAAAACAAAAACCTCGAATCCGTTGTGAACAAACATCAAACTGAATATAATCATTCTTTTAATTTTGACGATGCAGAAATTTTAGATTATGAAACTTCTTATAAAAAACGATTAATTTCTGAGATGATTTATATTAAATGCAATAATTTTACTATTAACAAGAAGGAAGATATACAGTTTCTTAGTAATTCCTATTTTCCTTTGCTTAATAAATTGAAATAATGGTTATAATTCATAATATTTCGATTGCGGGTCATTGACCCCATCGACTGTATATAACGCGAAAATTGTCACCGGCTCAGTCAGTTTGACTAATCACTCGTTTTAATATGTTTGTGATTTGTAAATTTAAATATTTTATTTTTTTGTTGTATTGCGTTTATTTATGTTTTTAATTTATTGACGTGATGTTTATTTATTGACTTTAACTAGGTAAAAATTGTTTTTTATTTTTTGTTTAAATTTAAATTTTCAAAATTTTGTTGTATTAATTTTTTTTAAAAAAATTTTTCTATTAAAGTGACCTGATGATGGTGGCGAACCTGACCACCGAAACGTCGTCTATTTTATAAAAAAGTAAAAGAGTGTTTTTCTTTTACCTTTTATATACGTCTTCCAAAAATCGAAAAAATTAATTTATTGAAAAATACTTTCTTATAAAATTTAGGATAATTGTTTTCTTTGAGAACAGAGTATATAACAAAACTCAGTGCCAGTCGGACTTGGACTTAAAAATTATAAGCACACAGTAGTAGTGTACAAGTGATTTAGTAAACAAATACTCGAGAGATATTCTCAAGTTTCCTTTATATAATCTAAAGTTACAGGTAATTTTTTAAAATTCAATTTGCCCCTGGAATCAGAAATGGAAGAATTTTCAGAAAATATCCATCTCTCGCTTTCTGAATCAAGTTACAAGGCCGCCGCAGCACTATTCCAATTTCTGCTCTCGCGCTACTGGCTCAAAATGATCTCTCTTATTCTTATATATAGCTATACTATATATTATAAAGATGAAAGAAAGTGGAGCACTTTTTTCCTTGTGAAGAAGATTGTTAGCGAAAGAAATTACCTGATAATCTGCATACTGAGTTTTATATTCAATGATGATTCTAAGTGGCCAGCTGAGGAGAAGAGCACTCAGACACCAATATACATAGGAATTGGTGAACCAGGGATTACCAAGGACCGCCACCAAAGTAATGGGATTGAAATTGTAACCCAAGTCGAGACTCTCTCTCATTTCCATGTAGTCGTCTCTGAATTCCTTTAATAGAAAAAATATCTATATTAATAAAATTCAACAATTGCTCAGAACTTCAAAATTCAATTAAGGGTGTTTACTATTTTTAACAAAATTTTCTGACAAAATTCCCGTTTTTTTCACATCAAATTTGAAATCAATTTCAAACATAAATAAATGTACAAATGTCTTCCAACATTTTTATTATAGAGTTTTTGTGAATAATTAAATTCTTTTGACGAGTTTCTTTAAATTTTTTGAAACTAATGTTTTTTTTAATAATTTTAATTACAAAATTTAGAAAATAATTGAATTTTTAATTGAATTTCTTTTTTTTTGAATAAAAAATTTTTTCAATTTTTTAAAATAATCTTGTCTGTTCATAATTATAACTGAAAATTTAATTAATTCAATTTTATTAAAATGTATTGGTACTTATTGAATAAATAAATAAATCTGAAGAATTTTGCTATTTATGGAAGTAATTGAATTCTCAAGAAGAATTTTTTACAGTTTTTAGAAATAATTAAGTTTTCTAATAATCTTTATTAAAATTCCTAAAAATTGTTAAAAAAAAATAATTGAAATTCTGCGTTGAGTTTTATATTATTTACGAAAATAATTGAATTTCTAAGAAGAATTTTATTATTTTCAAAAATAATTGAATTTTTGCAAAGAATTTTATTATTTATAAAGATAATTAAAACTTTACCAAAAATTTTTTTTGAAATTTTTGAACATAATTGAATTTTTGCGAAGAATTTTTATTATTTTTCAAGAAAATTGAATTTCTGCAAAGAATTTTATTATATTTGAACAAAATTTAATTTTTGAGAAGGATTTTATTAAAATTTTTAAAAATAACTGAATTTCTGTGAAAAATTTGATTTATTTACGAAAATAACTGAATTTCTAAGAAAAATTTTATTTATTTACGAAAATAATTGAATTTCTGAGAAGAATTTTATTATTTTCAAAAATAATTGAATTTTTGCAAAGAATTTTATTATTTATAAAGATAATTAAAACTTTAACAAAAATTTTTTTAAATTTTTATTTTTGAACATAATTGAATTTTTGCGAAGAATTTTTATTATTTTTCAAGAAAATGGAATTTCTGCAAAGAATTTTATTATATTTGAACAAAATTTAATTTTTGAGAAGAATTTTATTAAAATTTTTAAAAATAACTGAATTTCTGTGAAAAATTTGATTTATTTACGAAAATAACTGAATTTCTAAGAAAAATTTTATTTATTTACGAAAATAATTGAATTTCTGAGAAGAATTTTATTATTTTCAAAAATAATTGAATTTTTGCAAAGAATTTTATTATTTATAAAGATAATTGAAACTTTAACAAAAATTTTTTTAAATTTTTATTTTTGAACATAATTGAATTTTTGCGAAGAATTTTTATTATTTTTCAAGAAAATGGAATTTCTGCAAAGAATTTTATTATATTTGAACAAAATTTAATTTTTGAGAAGAATTTTATTAAAATTTTCAAAAATAACTGAATTTCTGTGAAAAATTTGATTATTTACGAAAATAACTAAATTTCTAAGAAGAATTTTATTTATTTACGAAAATAATTGAATTTCTGAGAAGAATTTTATTATTTTCGGAAATAATTGAATTTTTGAGAAGAATTTTATTATTTAAGAGAATAATTGAATTTTTGAGAAGAATTTTATTATTTATAAAGATAATTGAAATTTTAACAAAAAATTTTTGATATTTTTGAACATAATTGAATTTTTACAAAGAATTTTTATTACTTTTAAAAATCATTGAATTTTTGAGAAGAATTTTATTACTTTTGGAAATAATTGAATTTTCCATTGAGCTTTATTAAAATTCCTGAAAATTGTTTAAAAAATTTGAATTCCTAATACAAATTTTATTATTTATGGAAATAATTGAATGTCTGTATAAAATATTATTTATGAAAATAATGCAATTATTGCTAAGAAATTTTTTTAAAAATTTGTAAATAATTAAATTCCTATGACATTTTTATTATTTATAAAAATAATTAAAGGTTTCCCTAGATTTTATTATAAAGTTTTTGAAAATAATTGAATTTCAGAGAAGAATTTTGCTATTTATGAAAATAATTGAATTTCTGAGAAGAATTTTATTATTTACAAGAATAATTGAATTTTTGAGAAAAATTTTATTATTTTTGAAGATAATTTAAATTTTGACGAGAATATTTTTAAATTTTTGACATATTTGAATTTCTGCGAAGAATTTTATTACTTTTGAAAATAATTGAATTGTTTTTTTAGAGTTTTCTCATTTTCTGGAAATGTATGAAAATAATTGAATTCTTGTGAAGAATTTTTTTTAAAAATAATATTCAAAATAATTTTGCTATATTTATGGAGATATAATTGAATTCTTCAAAGAAATTTTTTTTTAATGTTTCTGGAAATAATTGAATTCTTTCGGCGAATTTTAATAAAATTTTTAAGAATAATTACATTTTTCGAGAAATTTGCATAAAATTGTATTAAAAATAATTGAAATTCTACAATGAGTTTTACTATTTATGAAAACAATTGAATATATTACGAAGAAATTTTTAAAAATAAAATTATAATTACAATGACTAACTCCCCTTGATTATTTTCGAAAAATTTAAATAAAATTCTTTAAAAATATTAAATTATTTTTATTAGAATGTAAAGAAATTTCAATTATTTCTTTATAAAAGTTCAATTATCTTATTGAAACAATAGAATTGAGAAATTTCAAAAATCTTATTTTTCAGAATTTTCAAAAAAACCTTTGCAAAAATTCAATTTTATTTGAAAAATTTTAAGTGTGTTTTAATTAATAATCTTCGCACTAAGAGACATGAATATACAGAATGGGACTCTTTATAAAATTCAATTATTTATCAATTATTAAATTAAAATACTTTGAAAATTCGATTTGTTAAAAAGTTTTTAATGAAATTCTTTAACAAATTTAATTATTTTCAGTTGAATTTCACAAAATTTCTATTAATTTCATAATTTTTTTAAATTTATTTACATACTATATTTGAATCAGTGACTGATTTTTTACTATCAAATTAATTATTTTTAACTCATTCAATTTTAGAGAACAGTATAAATATCTATAAAAATTGAAATAAAAAGCGATTTTTTAAAAACAAATTAAAAATAGTAAAACTTTTTTTAATTTGGTGAAAAAATTCCCAGTTTGGCATAAAATTCCTGGCTTATTCCCGGTAAAATTGAATTCCTGGCTTTTTCCTGGTTTTCCCGGATTTCCCGGTTAGTAGACATTTTTTTTAAACTTGTGAATTTTTTTCCCTGCATTTTTTTATATAATTGATTCAAGTGTGTAAGTTTTATCTTCAAGTAATTACAGAAACAAGTTTATACAAATTTCTGTCTATCTGTAGGCGATATTTTTGACAGGCATCACTTCAAAATGGCTTTACCCATCAAAGTGAAATTTGTCAGTCCGTTTGGTATTAGCGTAGCTTAAAATTTTAGCCGAAAATATTAATAATAAATGGAACACTACAGATTTTAAATTTAATTAAAATTGGCTTAATAAACGAAATAAATAATAAATTGAAAATTTATGAGAGAATATTAATTTATTACACAAAAAACACATATTGTTTTAGCAGTATATAGTAATAAATTTTTGAGAATTTCCAAATCCCTAATATTATATACCCGCGTCGAAGAAGGGTACGACATAGCTAGTAATAAAATGAAGTGGAGAATGTCGTAAAAATTTAATGGAAATCAGTTTAGCTCAAAAGAATATAGTACCTAATAATGAGCGTAAAGTACCTGTTCTGCGAAAAAACGTGACCTCGCCTCTTCGAATTCGGTGGCCGATCTCACGTTAGAAAATGCGAATCCTTTTGTGAGAGTAATTTTTGTTATTGGTACTTTCGGATCGAGAATTAATTCCTTACTGATGTCTTTGACACCACAATAATCGTAGAAATAAAATGACGTCGCCGCGTGTGTGTTCACTCTTTCGTAGTAAACCTATATTTGAAAAAAGAAATTTATCATTTTTTTCGTCTATAATAAATACAAAATATTAATTAATATATAATATTAATACAATACAAAAATATTCTGCAATAAAAAAATATTCGAACTAAAAATAATTAAGGGCATTTGAATCACTATTTTAGAACACATGCTTTGCACAGACTTTGACGACATGGTTCAAATGCCCTTTAAGAAATGAAAATATTAATTTTTATTATTTTTTTTTAAATTATTTAAAAAATTTTTTTTTTTTTTGTTATTTTTACGAAATGAAGATTTGACGAGTGCAAAAGCTGACCTGAGTTGTTGTGTAATTATCACCATTTCTGTAACGAGTGATTTGTCTCTTCCTACGCACATAGTGGTAGGAAATGGCCTTCCACCAAATTGTTGGCTGAGCAATTTTCAGTTGGGTCAACTTGGCAAGAACACTGCTTTGGCCCTCCGCATGTAAAAGGTCAATTCTGATTGGAGAATGATAGCATTCCACCAGATAAACAAGATACAACATTCCCATAAATGCAACCTACAAAATATTTATTCCACTTTAGTAAAAGTAACTCTTCGTTAACCAAAATTTAAAAATATCAAATTTAACAAGTTTTCATCTTCATGTTTAAATTTTTAATAATAATTATAAATAATGATAACAATATTAAACTGAAATTGGCACCCAGTTATTAGCACCCACTTTAAATATTTTTTTATGAAGCTGCAACTTGCACCTAGTTTAATGGACCTATTAAATTTTCAAAATTTTATGTTGCTTTTAAACAAACAAAATATTTAACTTCGAAATGTAATTTCCAAAATTAAGTGGGTGCTAATTTCAACTTTATAATGACACAATAATAAATAATAATGATTTATGATATTTTAAATAATAATAATAATAATAATAATAATAATAATAACAAATAGTAATAAATAAATAAATTTAATGTTGAAACTAATAATTAATTTTTATACTTACAGGTATGTATATGTAACCATCATCGCAGGGCGACACATTTTTTGTGCTTCGAATGGGGTATTTCGCATAATTGATGACGACCTAGAGAATTATAATTTTGTATAATTTTTACGTGTTCAAAAATACTTCAGAAGAAAACTTACAAGTTAGTATAAAATTTAATATTTATGAATCTAAGAAGCAAGAAATTAGAGGTTATGTTTGCATGTTTCGAAATGAAAATACAAAGTGGATGATCAACTCTCAATATAAACCGCTCTGATCCTTAATTCTTCTTTACATCTAAAATAATTTTTAAAAACTGATTTTAACTCAAAATTAAACACAGAAAATTGTAAAGAAAGGTAAAAATAACACAAACATAACCTAAAAATCTTGTCTCTTCTTTGGAGAGCGTCAAGAAAATGTACTAAATAATATTCAGGACTCGAACTAGGTCCGTAAATCCCGTAAAGGTACGTAAATTTACTTAAAGTCCGTAAAGTCCGTAATTTGATTGAGTAAATACGAAAAGTTGGTAAATTGTACGATATAATTTGGAGAATTTTAGCGAAATTAGAAATGATTGTAGAAATTCAATTATTTTCATAAAGTATAATAAAATTCTTCGCAGAAATTCAATTATGTATGTTCAAAAGTTTTTAAAAATACTCGTCAAAATTTCAATTATCTTTAGAAATAATTATAATATTCTTCTGGGGAATTCAATTATTATTTTCAATAAATTTTTATCAAATTCTTGGCAAAATTTCAATTATTTTCAAAAATATTCCTCAATTCAATCATTTTTTGATATCTATTATTTTAATAAATTTTTCCAAACGAATTCAATTATTTAAAAAAACATTTTGATAAAATTCTACGCAAACCATTAATTATTTTCATACAATAATAAAAATTTCACAGGAATTCAATTATTTACAAATTTTTTTATCAATTTCTTCCCAATAAATATTGAATTATTTTCATAAATTTCAAAAAAATTCTGGAAAAAATTTCAATTATCTTTATAATAAATAATAACATTCTTCTCCAAAATTCAATTATTTTTAATAATTTTAATAAAATTCTTGTCAAAATTTCAATTACTTTCAAAAATTTTCGACAATTTAATTATTTTCAACATTTACTATTTTAATAAAATTTTACAAAAAAAAATCCAATATAATTTTTAAAAAAATTTTGATAAAATTCTACGCAAACATTTAATTATTATCAAAAATATTAGAATTTCATAGAAAATTAGAAATTCAATTATTTTCTTAAATAATAAAATTCTTTTTAGGAATTTAATTATTTTCATAAACGCAATAAAATTTTTTACAAAGATTCAATTAATTTTAATACAATTTTAGTCAAATTCCTCGAAAAATGTAATTTTTTTTTTTTTTTAAATTTTATTAAAATTCGTCGAAAGAATTCAATTATTTTAAAATTTATTGATAAAATTCTTTATGAGGATTCAATTTTTAGAAACATTTAATTATTCAATAAATGATTTATTTTTGAATTTATATCATTTGAATTCTAGTAGAATTTTCTAATAAAAATTGATTTAAAAATGGATTTTAGTTAAAATTTTAGATAATAATTGAATATTAAGAGCAATATAGCGTCAATTTTTATAAATAATTGAATTTTGAAAAGGTTTGAATTTGAAATTCTTGAAAATCTGAATTCTTTATTTTTTAACTAACAATTCTGTGGAATTAATTGTTTTGAGAAAGTTTAATTTGTGGATTTTTAGTTTTTAATTTATTTTTAGTTTTCAAATATAATTATATTTTATTGAAGAATTTATGAAATATTGAAATTTTGTAAAGTTGAATTATAAACAAATAAATTTGAAAATTCTGAAAGAATTTTTTCAAAAAAATATTAAAAATTGTATTTTTAAAAATTATTTGAAAATAATACAAATACATAATAATAATTTCTCATAGAAATTTCAATTATCTTTATAAATAATAAAATTTTTCTCTGAAATTCAATTATTTAAAAAAATGTGTTTCAATTCTTGACAAAATTTTAATTATTTTCATAAATAATAAAATTCTTCTCTGAAATTTAATTATTTTCAAAAATTTTATACTAAAATCCAGGAAAACCTTTAATTATTTTTATAATTAATAAAAATTTCACAAGAATTCAATTATTTACAAATTGTTTATAAATTTCTTTTTAGGAATTCAATTTTTATTTTCACAAATAATAAAACTCATCGTAGAATTTCAATTATTTTTAATACAATATTTTAATGGAATTTCTCGAAAAATGTAATTATTATTCTTAAAAATTTTATTAAAATTCGTCAAAAGAATTCAATTATTTAAAAATTTGTTTATAAACTTCTTTATGAGAATTGAATTTTAAGAAACATTCAATTATTCAATAAATTATTTATTTTTGTATTTAAATAATTGAATTCTAGCTTAGAATTTTCTAATAAAAATACATTTAAAAAAGAATTTCAGTTAAAACTTTAGATAATAATAATTGAATATTAAAAGCAATATAGCGTGAATTTTTAGAAATAATTGAATTTTGAAATTAATTTTTTTTTTTGAAAAAGTTTAATTTAATTTTTTTTATTTTAAGTTTTTATGTTCTAATTGTATATTTAATTAAAGAATTTATGAATAATTGAAAATTCTTAAAATTGAATTGAATTGAATTGAATTGAATTGAACTGTGATTTAAATTAATTTAGATACTGTGAGGGTTTTGATACGTTTGTTAATACCTAGTGTTTAAAGTACAATAGTGGATAAAAGTGAAAAATAAAATTTCCCTGAAATGGAAAATAAAGGAGAAATGTTATTTGTTAATAACAATAGAAATTAAGAGAGAGAGAGGGATAGAGACCTTGGTGACATTTGCGCAACGACACCACGTAACGGCAGCAAGACATCCGTAAATGAGTACAGAAAGTACCAAACATTTGCAATTAGCTTCTTTCTGCAATGCGCCACAGAGAGTTTGGGAGACTGCTTTTTGCTGCAAGTTTAACAAGACTCAAATAATACTTACTCTACCCCATAACTTAAATTGGAATTTAACGAACTATACAACCAACAAAAAAGCTGGGCAAATATTTCTCAAGTCAGAAAACGAGGTACTAAAAAAAACATCTTAATTGTTTTCTCCTCTAATTTTTGAATTTTTATCTTTAAAACAGTAAACAAGTTCAGCAATTAAAAAGTGTAGAAGAATTTGTTACTTTTAATTATTATTTTAATTCAATTATTTTTTAAATCAAATTTAGAAAAAAAATATAGTATTATTAATATTTAAAATAAATTCTTATTTTCAAAAAAAAATACAAAATAATTTAAATTATATTTGAAAGTTTTTCAATGATAAAATTTCAGGAGATACAAAACTCCTGAACTAGTTCTTATTATAATTTTTGATAAATAAAAAATTTCTCTTTTAATGAGAATTTAAAACTCACTTCCTCATTATCACGATTCATCTTAAATCCCACTTCTGAAATTTTTATATCAGATACGCAACATTTCAATAGATTTTTATCCTTTCTTTCATGTTTGAATAGATCGTCTGAAAAAGATAATTTTATTACACATTTTACCATAATGCAATTTTTATATACACATTTAAATTTTTTTTAATATATACATATAGTATAGATATGAAAAGCGAATATTCTGTGATATTGCAAAAATTTAAATTGAAATATGCATTAACTTCTTTCATCGATATTTCTTGTAATTCGTTTTTCCATATATACTCCCCCTCCCTGTAGTGATAAAATTTGTATCAAATTTATATGTTTTTTACATCATAAAATAAAAATCTTCTTTTTATATTTGAAATCAAATTTTTAAACAGTTAATACAAATTTTAATGGCGGTTTTTTGTTAGAGTTTAAATTGAACAAAATTTATTTGAATAGAACAATGAGGTGATTATTATAGAAACATTCGCTTTTGTATACTGTAAAGTGTTTATTGATATTGAACAAATATTGCAATAATAATATTAATATATATTTCAATATGTTAATTAAATATATTTTTCTCTAAATTTAAATTAGTAAAAAATAAAAATGCTTATTAATTTGAATAAGTGACTTACTTTTTGCTTTTAAATTAGTAAATTAGTATTCAAAAATTTTAATCAGTTAGTAATTGAAAAAAATTAGTAAATTTTACTACAATTCAAATTTAGAGAGTTTGAGATGAAATTAATTTACAATATTAAATTGTTTGAATAAATAATAATTCGAATAAATAAAAGTAACAACTAATAAATTTTTTGAATTAAAAATTTTTCTTTCTAAAATAGAAATTAAAAAATTTTTTTTCAAATTTAGAGAGTTTTGAGATAAAATTAATTTAGAATATTAAATTGTTTGAATAAATAATAATTTGAATAAATAAAAGTAACAATTAATAAATTTTTTGAATTTAAATTTTTTTTTCTAAAATAGAAGTAACAAAAATTTCAAATTAAGAGAGTTTTGAGATAAAATTAATTTAGAATATTAAACTGTTTGAATAAATAATAATTCGAATAAATAAAAGTAGCAACTAATAAATTTTTCGAATTAAACATTTTTCTGTCAAAAATAGAAATTAAAAAAAATTTGTCTTCAAATTTAGAGAGTTTGAGACAAAATTAATTTATAATAATAAATTGTTTGAAAAAATAATAATTCGAATAAATTAAAGTAACAACTAATAAATTTTTGAATGAAAAAATTTTCTTTCTAAAATAGAAATTAAAAAAATTTTCTTCTTTAGAGAGTTTTGAGATAAAATTAATTTAGAATATTAAATTGTTTGAATGAATAATAATTTGAATAAATAAAAGTAACAACTAATAAGTTTTTTTGAATAAAAAATTTCTTTCTAAAATAGAAATAAAAAAAATTTGTTTTCAAATTTAGAGTTTTTTGAGACAAAATTAATTTATAATAATAAATTGTTTGAATAAATAATAATTCGAATAAATAAAAGTAGCAACTAATAAATTTTTGAATGAAAAAATTTTCTTTCTAAAATAGAAATTAAAAAAATTTTCTTCAAATTTAGAGAGTATTGAGATAAAATTAATATAGAATATTAAACTGTTTGAATAAATAATAATTCGAATAAATAAAAGTAACAACTAATAAGTTTTTTTGAATAAAAAATGTCTTTCTAAAATAGAAATAAAAAAATTTTGTTTTCAAATTTAGAGTTTTTTGAGACAAAATTAATTTATAATAATAAATTGTTTGAATAAATAATAATTCGAATAAATTAAAGTAACAACTAATAAATTTTTGAATGAAAAAATTTTCTTTCTAAAATAGAAATTAAAAAAATTTTCTTCAAATTTAGAGAGTTTTGAGATGAAATTAATTTATAATATTAAACTGTTTGAATAAATAATAATTCGAATAAATAAAAGTAACAACTAATAAGTTTTTTTGAATAAAAAATTTCTTTCTAAAATAGAAATGAAAAAATTTTTTTTTTCAAATTTAGAGGGTTTTTTGAGGCAAAATTAATTTATAATATTAAATTGTTTGAATAGAAAATTTCTTTCTAAAATAGAAATAAAAAAAAAAATTTTCAAATTTAGAGAATTTTGAGACAAAATTAACTTATAGTATTAAATTGTTTGAATAAATAATTATTCGAATAAATATAACAGTAATAATTAAAAATTTTTTGAATAGAAAATTTTTCTGCCAAAAATAGAAATTAAAAAAATTTGTCTTCAAATTTATAGAGTTTGAGATAAAATTAAATTATAATATTAAATTGTCAGACGAAATAATAACTTAAGTAAATAAGAGCAACAACTAAAAAATTTTTCCAATCAACAATTTTTCTCTCGAAAAATAAAAGTAAAAAAAAAAACATTTTTCTTTTCAAAATTTACATTGAAATTGTGACTGAGAATAGAGCTATGTTGAAAATAGTTCCGGATAAAAATTGACCTACTTAAAAATGAAGTAACAATTGCAAAAGATGGAACAGGGTTTTTCCCTCAGGAATGAGATCCAATTGGGTTATTGCCTTTTGCTGTAATTTTCCCCATTATCGTTGTAAATTTTTTTTTCAAATGCGAATCAAAAATAGAACCAAAAGAAATTTTGAAGGAAAATGTGAATAGTTTATTATTGTTACTATGATTTATTCACTTTTTTTTCTTTAAAAAGAAATTTTCATTTTCAAATAAATGTAACTAAATTAAATTAAATTATATAATTAATTTAACTTAATTTAGTTAAATTTACTTATAATATGTATAAAATGTCCTTAATGATGAAATTAATTACCAGAAAAAGTTATAATAAGACGATGACGAAAGATTATTTAAAGGAAAAGGCAGAAAAAAATTGACGGGTTGATTATAAAAAGGAGAAAAAGGGATTATACTGAAAATTGAAAAGCACATTGCGCAATATAGACTTAAGTCCATTATCATTCACTTGATTATTATTAATTCAAAATTTACGTCATGAATAATAAATTTATACATCAGTAATTTCATTGCAATGACATAATTTTGTTTATTTCATCATTAAATCGTTCTTTGCAATACTGTTATAATTTCGTCATTTCATATTTTTCTTTTGATTTTGATAGCATAATTTTAATTTTAAAATTTTTTTCAGAAATCTTAATATTTTTTTCAATTCGAAAATAATACCTATAAAAAATTATTTTTTTTAAACCATATAGAATTTTTTTTCCACTTTTTCGATCGTTCAAAATAAGAAAGCCAATATTTTTATTTCTTTTTTAATTTGAATATTATTAGGTACAAAATATGATTTTTATAATTAAAAAATTAATTTTTAGGTGCCCAGGTGCGAATTTTGGTCGGCCGCCAGAGTTGGCAGGTCGGGCCCAGGTCGGCCCATCTATGGCTGCCAATAGGTCGGCAGCCAAAGTCGGGCCGACTTTGGTTACTGTTTCCACCCAAGGTTGGGCCGACTATGGGTGCCAGAGTTTAGAGAACCTAATTTTAGTTGGTCGGGCCGACTCTGGCCTGAGTCGGGCCGATGGTCGGTAAAACTATGGCAGCCAGAGTTTAAAAAACCTAATTTCTGTTGGTCGGGCCGACTCTGGCCTCAGTCGGGCCGATGGTCGGTAAAACTATGGCAGCCAGAGTGTAAAAAACCTAATTTCTGTTGGTCGGGCCGACTCTGGCCTGAGTCGGGCCGATGGTCGGTAAAACTATGGCAGCCAGAGTTTAAAAAACCTAATTTCTGTTGGTCGGGCCGACTCTGGCCTCAGTCGGGCCGATGGTCGGTAAAACTATGGCAGCCAGAGTGTAAAAAACCTAATTTCTGTTGGTCGGGCCGACTCTGGCCACGGTTGGCCCGACCATCTTAAAAAACATTTCTATACTGCCATGGTAGAAATTAAAAGTTTTTGTGTTAATTATTTTAGCTAAAATGGATTAAACAAAAACTAATAAACGTTATCTGATTTATTAATCGTTATGAATTACAAATTTCTTTTTTTAAATTGCAGCTTATAAATTCATTTTTGTTCTTAGGCTTTCATGTAAGCGTAGCGTAATGGTTAGCGTGTTAGACTTCGGTGCGTTAGGTTGCGAGTTCGATCCCTGCGAGCGTTAGAAATTTTAATTTGTATTTATGTATAAGATTGCGTCTAGTGTTAAGATGAATGCGATAAATAAATAAATAAATAATGAATATTAAGATATCACTTAATATCTGTTAATTGTAAAGTTAATAATTTTTTGCAAACGGTCGGCCGACTATTGGCTGCCAAGGTCGGCACGACCATGGTTGCCAAAATGAAGCCGACCTTCTTTCTCATGGTCGGGAAAACTTTGGCACCCCTGGTCGGCCCGACTTTGGCAACCATAGTCGGCCCGACCATGTCAGCCACTGGATGGCGGGTGTTACAATTCGCTAGTTCGGCCGACCTTTGGCTGCCAAGGTCGGCACGACTATCCACTTGGTCGGCGCGACCATGGCCCGACCAACTTTTCGCACCTGGGTGGTAAATAAATATTCAATTATAATATTCTCCAAGTCCGTCAATATATATTAATTTTTTAATATTGGAATATTTTAAAATATTGTAAAAAAAATTTTTTCATTTGAACGTTTGAATCTTTAGGGAAATAAATGTTTTTCAATTTTTTCCAACTTTTCCCAAATTTGTAATTCAATTATAATTTTCAGAATTTTTCGGAATAAAATATTATTTATTATCAGAATTAAAAATTGTGTTCTCTAAATCTGAATAAGCCAACTTTTCCTATAATCGAATACTGCCAATTATTGTTTATTAAATAAATTATTGACTAATTGTTATGACCCACAAGTTTAGAACGTTCAAATGATTGAAATATTTTTTATTAAAAGTAAAACTATTTTTAGAAATTACTGATTGCAATAAAAAATGAATGTATAAATTTTAAATTTAGAAACTAATAATTAATAATATTTTTTTAATAAGTGACGCAAAATTATTGTAATAAAAATTTAATTTGAAGAAGAAATAAATAAATTCCATTGAATTGAACGTTGAGAACTTTATAGAATAATTAATTCTTAGTCGGGAACTGCGTATTGGTAATAGAGATAATTAATTATATAAGTATAATTCATTTGTTAGGATTACTAAATCATACATTATAAACTTTCCTCAATTGAAATAGTGTTCTTAACAAATAAATTAGTTACTTTTTTTTAGGAAACTACTTATTTATTAAATTAAAAAGTGCATTTTTAACTAAGAATTTGTTCAACTGTAGAAGTTTTGGACTAAAAAAGTAATTTTTGACTATAAGAAACTAGCATCAAAATTAAAAAAAAATATTTTTGAGTAAGAATCAGTCAAAACTGTATCAGTCCTTGACAAAGAAAATATTTTTTGACCAGAAAATTGATTTTTAAATTAAAAGAGCAGTTTTTTTTATAGAATCGGTCTGAACCGTAGTAATTTTTTTGACTAAGATAGTAGTTTTTCACTAAAAATTTAGTTTCTAACTAAAAAAATAAAAATTGCCTTGATTCAGTGAAAACTGTAGTAGTTTCACAGACAAAAACGCATTTTTTAATTACAAATCAGTCAAGACTGTAGTATTTTTTCACTAAAAAAACTTGTTTTAATAAATAAAAAATTTCCCTTTTTTGACTAAAAATCAGTCAAAACTGTAGCATTTTTTGGCTAAAATAGTTCATTTTGACTAAGAATCTAGTTTTTTAATTAAAAAAGCAGTTTTTAACTAAAGAGTCGGAGTAAATTTTTGTAAATTTTACTAAGAATGTAGTTTTTTACTACAAAAAAATAATAGTTCACTAAGACTCAGTCAAAACTTTAGCAATTCTTGACTAAGAAACTAGTTTTTAAATAGTGAAGTTTGATTTTTATTTTAAAGTAGTTTTTAACTAAAAAAATTCCTTTTTGAATTATAAAAACTAATTTTTATATTAAATAGCAGTTTTTGACTAAAATGCAATCAAATCTGTAGCATTTTTTAAAATAGAAACTTGTTTTAAAAAAATCTTTTTTGATTGAAAATTGTAGTATTTTTTGACTAAAAAAACCAGTTTTTAAATAAAAAAATTTCGTTTTTGACTATAAAAACTAGTCAAAATTGTAACATTTTGTCACTAAAACAGTAATTTTTGACTAAGAAACTAGTTCTTTAATTAAAACAGCAGTTTTTGATTAAAATTCAGTCAAATCTGTAGTAGTTTTTGAGATAGAAACTGGTTTGAAAAAAATCATTTTTAATTCAGGAGCGTAATATTTTTTTGACTAAAAAAAAATAATTTTTAAATAAGAAATTTCATTTTTGACTAAGAACCAGTTAAAACTGATTTGACTAAAAAAGTAGTTTTTTACTATAAAAATATAATAATTCACGAGGTTTTAGTAAAAACTGTATCAGTTATTGACTTAGATATTAATTTTTAAAGAATAAAATTCGATTTTCATTTTAATGTAGTTTTTAACCAAAAAAAAGTCATTTTTGAATAAAAAGAAACTAATTTTTATATTAAAAAAGTAGTTTTTTGACTAAGATTCAGTCAAAACTGTAGTATTTTTTGGAAAGGAAACTTGTTTTAAAAAACAATTCGTCTTTGACTGAGAATCAGTCAACTTTTAACAGTTTTTGACTGAGAAAGTAATTTTTTACTGAAAAGTAATTTTTGACTATAAAAATCAGTCAAAACTAGTACTTTTTGACACAGAAACTAATTTTTAAATTAAAAAGGCAGTTTTTAGAAAAAATTTGTGTAAACTAGTAGTTTTAGTAGGTTTTGACTATCAAACCAGTTTTTAACTAAAAAAGTAATTTTTGACTAAGTATCAGTTCAAAAAAGTAGTTTTAGCTGTTTTCTACCACCGTCTTGTAGTATTTAAAACTTAATTACTATTTTTTTAACAAAAAAAAAAATTTTTTTAATAAAAAGAGAGTTTTTGACTAAAAATCAATCAAGATTGTATTAGTTTAAGTAATTTTTAACTAAAAAAATTAGTTTTGGGCTAGAAATCAGCTCAAAAATGTAGTTTTATCTGCTTTCTACCACCGATTTGTATTATTTAACTTAATTTTTTAACCAGCAAAATTATTTAACCGAAAAAATTATTTTTTAATAAAACGACAGTTTTTGACTAAAAATCAATCAAAAGTGTATTAATTTGAGTAATTTTTAACTAAAAAAAGTAATTTTTGACTAATTATCAGTTCAAAAAAGTAGTTTTATCTGTTTTCTACCACCCATTTTGTAGTATTTAACTTAATTACTAGTTTTTGAAAAAAAAATAATTTTTTAATAAAAAGACAGTTTTTGACTAAAAATCAATCAAAAGTGTATTAATTTTAGTAATTTTTGACTAATTATCAGTTCAAAAAAGTAGTTTTATCTGTTTTCTACTACCGACTTGTAGTATTTCACTTAATTACTACTTTTTTTAACTAAAAAAATAATTTTTAACTAAAACGACATTTTTTGACTAAAAATCAATGAAAAGTGTACTAATTTTAGTAATTTTTAAATAAAAAATGTAATTTTTGACTAATTATCAGTTCAAAAAAGTAGTTTTATCTGTTTTATACCACCAATTTGTAGTATTTAACTTAATTACAAATTTTTTTAACTAAAATAATAATTTTTAACTAAAACGATAATTTTTTACTGAAAATCAATCAAGATTGTATTAGTTTTAGTAATTTTTAACTAAAAAAATTAATTTTTGACTAAAAATCAGTGATAATTGTAAGAGTTTCAGTACTTTTTCACTAAGAAAGTAGTTTTTACCCAAAAAAGTAGTTACCGTCTAGAATAACATCAAAACTGTTGTAGTTTTAATAGTTTTCTACTGATTAGTAGTTTTTGACTATAAAACTATTTTTTGACCCAAAAAATTAATCAGAACGTTTTTTTTTATTTCATTTAAAGGAAAAATTGCAAATTTCATTTGTCGAAAGTTACAAATTCATGTTTTTGAAACATAAAGTACAAACTACATATATAATTATCTTATACCAAATCTAAAGTTAATTTTAATCCAAAACTTCAAAAAAAAAAAGTTTCTTCATTTTCTCCGAAATCAAATTCTCCTTTCTACGCAAATTACCTTTTTTCCCCAGAGTAATTTAAGCACGTGCGTAAATCACCAGTTGCTTCTATTTTTTTTAAGGTTTCCCGTCTTATGAACCGTCGGCAAAACTTTCACCCTTCACCAAAAAAAAATTAAAAACACCCACTTCTTCAATGAAAACTTTTCCCAACAATCAAAACATAATTATAACTTTAACATGAAAATTATTTTCAAATTATTTTTCACGCATTTATTACAGAAAAAACACTCGAGAAACTTTTTCCAAAGGGCAAATTTTTTACAACTTGGTTCAATTTTCGAAAAAAGGGAATTAAAACCATACACTGTTGCACATTTAATGAAAAAAAGGGAGAAATTAAAAAAAAAGTTGAGAAAAAAAATAAATTTTAGTTTGAGAATTAATATGGTATTTATGGATATATAAACAAATAGGACGCACTATTTTATTTATAAAGAATTTTTTATACCTTTGACTTCGCGATAATTTCGTGTAAAAAGGAATATCCACTGAATATCATGATTTTGAGGGGGCGAAATATTTTTTTCAGGGGGGCAAGAGGGGATTGTTTTTTTGTTAGGGAAAATTTCGTAAGGACATCGCCTTTTTGAATTGAAATTTTGAAAATTAGTTCGTATGATTGGTTCTACCCCTTCGAAGCGTCCAGGGGCGACTGGTGAGCGTCGTCAGAACGGCGCCCTCACAGTCGCCATACAAGCTTTCGTAAAAACATCGACTGGTTGGGGAAAATCACCCTTCCACAATGTGATTTCAGTGAAAATAGAGACGTACTAGTCAGACAGGGAATATTCGCCAGGGTCCGGCGAGACGTCGCCTTTATCCTTCAGGATCGATTCCACTTCATGCTCCTGAAAAACAAGCGCCTCGATCCGGATTTGATCTTCCTGTCTATAAAAATTTTTTTATTACCTTCTTTATTTAACAGCTCAAACCAACTGTCACACCGCTTCCACTTTTGTTATTTTTCAGAGGAAAAATTCTTCACCAAAGGAAAAATTGTCCTTTTCTTTTTTTTTTTTTATTCTTTTTTTCTCTCTTTGACACTTGAAACTGTTTACATGATCCAGCAAATTTTTTTCCATTATAAAAGAATTTCTTTTCGCTAGTATTTTGATGGAATAAAATTCATATAAAAGTCCTCTTTTCTATGCGGTAAATCTTCTTATTTTGGGGGTTGGCTTTTTAGGAAAAATATTAAGTCATATTTTTAGATGGAATAATTTTAAGGATCAATTCTGTTTACGAAACAAATTTATTTTTTATTTGGGAAAAATGTCGATTTGTCTGACATTTATTTTTAACTGGGAAATATTGCGCGACATTCTGCAAAACCAATTATTATTGTAATGCAATTTAGCAAAAAAAATTTTATTTTCAAATTCTTGAAAAATGTTTTTTTAAAAAACAATTTTTGAATAGTTCCAGATTCAAAATTTACAGAAAATTTAATTATTTTTGTTAACAACTTTAATAAAATTCTTTAAACGAATTCAATTATTTTCAATAGAATTCAATTATTTTCATAAATGTATTATTATTTAATTATAAATTTACCATTATTTTTTTTTTAATAATTTTAATAAATCTCTTCAAAGGAATTCAATTATTTCCAATAGAATTCAATTATTTTCATAAATTTATTATTATTCAATTAAAAATTTACCTTTTTTTTAATTTTAATAAAACTCTTCAAAGGAATTCAATTACTTTTCAATAGAATTTCGACAAAAACTTTACAAAGAGTTAAAGTATTTTCAATACAATTTTATTCGAATTCCTCGAAAGAACTAAATTATTTTTAAAAAAATTTATTAATATCTTTCGAAACATTTCAAATATTTTCAATACAAATTTCAATTAAATTTCCCGAAAGAATACAATTTTCATAAATAAATAATAAAATTCTTCGAAGAAATTTAATTTTTTTTATAAGAATAATAATATTCTTCGAAGAAATTCAATTATTATTCTAATTATTAGATAAAATTCTTGGGAGATATAATTTAATTATTTTTAATACAATTTAGTAAAATTTCTCATAAGAAACAATTATTTTTCAAAATTTACGCAAAGTTAAATTATTTTTTTAACAATTTTAATCAAATTCTTTAAAGGAATTCAATTCTTTTAAATAAAATTCAATTATTTTCATAAATATAATAAAATTCTTCGCAGAAATTCAATAATTTTTTTTATTATATAATAAAATTCTTGGGAGAAATAATTCAATTATTTTTAATACAATTTATTAAAATTTCTCATAAGAAACAATAATTTTTCAAAATTTCCTCAAAATTCAATTATTTTTGTTATCAGTTTTAATGAAATTCTTCAAAGGAATTAAATTCTGTTAAATAGAATATTCAATTATTTTTATAAGAATAATAAAATTCTTTGCAGAAAATCAATTATTTTTCTAATTATAAATAAAAATCTTAGGAGAAATAATTCAATTTATTCAATTTTCTCATAAGAAACAATGACATTTGAAAATTTTCACCAAATTCAATTATTTGTTTTAACAAATTTTAATAAAATTCTTCAAAGAAATTCAATTCTTTTAAATAGAATTCAATTATTTTCATAAATATAATAAAATTCTTCGCAGAAATTCAATTATTTTTCTAATTATATGTTAAAATTCTTGGGAGAAATAATTCAATTATTTTTAATACAATTTTAATAAAATTTCTCATAAGAACAATTATTTTTCAAAATTTCCACAAAATTCAATTATTTTTGTAAACAATTATTTTAATAAAATTCTTCAAAGAAATTCAATTCTTTTCAATGAAATTCAATTATTTTTATAAGAATAATAAAATTCTTCGTAGAAATTTAATTATTTTTCTAATTATAAATAAAATTCTTAGGAGAAATAATTTAATTATTTTTTATACAATTTAGTAAAATTTCTCATAGGAAACAATTATTTTTCAAAATTTCCACAAAATTAAATTAATTTTTTTTTAACAATTTTAAGTTTAACGAAATTCTTTAAAGAAATTCTATTTTTTTTTAATAGAGTTTCAAAAAAATCCGTACAAAGAGTTAAAGTATTTTCATATAAAATTTTATTGAAATTCCTCAAAAGAACTCAATTATCTATTTTTAAAAAAATTTATTAAAATCTTTCGAAACATTTCAAGTACATATTTTCAATACAATTTTAATTAAATTCTTTGAAAGAATACAATTAGTTACATTTTACAAAAAAATTTCAATATTTCTTCGCAAAAAACTAGATTTTTAAATAACTTTTATGAAAACTCTTTGCTTTTTGTTTTATTAAGGAAAATTCTTAGTTTATTTTCTTAAATTATAAAATTCTTCATTGGAATTCAATTATTTTGAATCCACAATTTTAAATAAATTTCCCGTAAGAATTCAATTGTTTTGATTACAGTTTTAATAAAATTCCTCGTAAGAAAGAAGAAACTATTATTTTTCATTTCCAAAAAATTTGTCACAAAAATTTAATTATTTTTTTTAACAATTTTAATAAAACTCTTCAAAGGAATTCAATTATTTTCAATAGAATTTTAAAAAAGTCTTTACAAAGAGTTAAAATATTTTCAATACAATTTTATTTAAATTCCTCCAAAGAACTAAATTATTTTTAAAAAAATTTATTAAAATCTTTCAAATAACATTTCAACCTATTTTCAATACAATTTTAATTAAATTCCTGGAAAAAATACAAATCATGTAATTTTTAAAAGTTTCCAAATATCTTCGCAAAAAACTGTAGTTTTTTTAAAATAAATTTTTAGAAAATTATTTGCAAGTATTCGTTTATTTTCATAAATAGTACAATTCTTCGGAGGAATTCAATTATTTTTATAAGAATAATAAAATTCTTCACAAGAACAAAATTTTTCTAATGATAAAAAAAAACAAAAAACAATTATTTTGAATACAATTTTATTAAAATTTCCCGTAAGAATTGAATTATTTTTCAAATATTTCAACAAAATTCTTCCCAAAAATTCAAATTTTTTTTATTGCAATTTTAACAAAATCTAGACAAAGATTTAAAGAATTTTCAACTCAATTTTCATAATTCGTAGTAAGAATATATTTCAAAATTAAAAAAAAAAATTGTTCCCATGAATTCAAATATTTAAAAAAAATTTAAGAATATTTTCTTTATAGGAATTCAATTATTTTTATACGTAATAAAATTCTTTAGAAAAAATTCAATTATTTTCACGGTAATTTCAATTAAATTTCTCAAAAGAATTAAAAAAAAAAGTTAGGGAATAAATAGCAAAACCAACATCAAACTAAAAAGAGACATTTTGAATACAATTATTAACTTAGATTGTTTGCTTCTTAATTTTTGTTTTCTTTTTCGTTTGTTTGTTGTGGTACAAGTAAATATTTATTTGATGGTCAAATAAACGATTAAATTAGAAAAAAAAATTTCTTTTTTTTAGTATTTATAGATTCTAAATATAGATTTTATATTTTTTCAAAAATATTTTTCATTTTAGTACCGCTAAAATGACTTCAGTATATAGCTTTCTTAAATTAAGCTAAGGCTCAATTATTTTCAAGGATGAAAGTTCAATTTACGGGTTGTTAAATGATCCGTAAAAATTAATTTTTCCTTGTAATAAATTTATGAAAAAAGTAATAAATTTCCGGAAACCCCTTTTCTCAGAAAAAAATTGTATTTGAATCAAATATTCTATTTTTTTGTTTTTGGCAAAGTTTTTGTATTATTCTAAATAAAGTTTTGCTAAACCCAAATAAATATTTACTCGAATTAAATAAAGTTTGGTTAACCCAAAAAAAATATTTATTCGAATTAAATAAACATTTAGTGTAGCTGAATAAAATTTTCTTTCTAAAGCTTTCAAAAAATAAATTTGTTAACTTAAAGAAAATTTTTAGTCAATCCCAACAAATGTTTGATAAATGTTTTTATTTGATTGATTCAACCAAATTTAATTTTTTTAAACAAATTTTTCTTTAATTATATATTTTAACAACATTTTAAAAAGTATTTCAAAAGTTTTCAGTTTTTTAATTCTTGTTATCGCTTTATTAAAAGATCTCCCCAATTTATAAAAAAAACTTTTTCTTTATTTTTCAAAAAGAAAAAAAACAATCATTCATTTGAATAATAAAAATTTTTCATTCAAAGTAAATAATAGAAACTATTTATTTCAGCAAGTGGAATGTATATTTTTCCTTGAAACTTCTTTGAGATGTTCTAGAATTTCTTGAAGAATTTTATTAAGACTCGAGGCAAACATTTAATAAATCTTGCGGAAATTCTATTCTGACTTTAAGTTATAATTTTATTTCACAATTGTACCCATTGTGTTTTTTTTTAATTAAATTTTTTTTGAGTACAGGTATAGAATATAGTATTTAAATATAATCGAGTTGAAAAAAAGAGAAAAATAAACGAATATTAAATTCTATTATTCTAATTGTAAAAATAAACTTTGTGTGTGTCTAACACGAGTTTCTAAATGAAAATTGAACTCCTGATCGTTACAAACTTTGTCTGACCACAAACTAACTTCTCTACTTAGAAGTTGAACAAAGATAAATGATTAATTATACTGTTTGTGATAGGTTTTATATACTTGATAGATTACTTTTGCAGAAAGTATAAATATAATGATTGTAACTTTTTTTTTCTTCTATTCCTCAAAGCACCAAATTATTTCAACTTCATTAGCTGTTAATGATGAAAGTAACTTAATTACCTTTGTTCCAAAATTGAAAATTTAATACAATTTTGTCCTACACGCATGAAAATTTCCATTATGTACGTTA